TTGTTAGTTTTCTGATGTCACCAATGTTTAGTAATTTAGAGCAAAATCAAATGCTATGTTTCATGTCACACTTAATAAACACGAGCAATTTCGAAGCAAAAATTAAATGATTTTTTTTTACTTTAAAGTAATTGCAATTCCTTGGTGATTACAAATATTTATTTATATGACTTTTCTTGTTTCGTCTCATTAGTAGAAACTTTTAATCAGCGTAATGCTCACGTGCGCTTGTGTGTGTATTCACAAGTATGTGTGTGTTATGAACGCAACGCCAATATGCACTTTTCAAGAATTTCTTCGCCACCTATTCTTACAATTTTTAAAATTTTTTTTTCAACTTTTTAATTTTCTTTCTTATTTTTCAACGACTACTGCGGTGCCTTGTGCCAATTTGCCATAATTTTTGTCGAATTTGTATAAAGTTTCGACAAACTTTCACGCCTTTTGGACGCCGGCAGAGTGTCAGCAGTACGTTGGCGCCCAATTATGTTGCGCCACTGGAATGCCATTGTGCCCGAGAATAATTTGTACTATCGCGGTGTTTACAAATGAAGCTTTCGCTCGCACATAGTCATATATATATACAACAAGTAAATAGATAATATATGCATACATATGTATGTGTGCGTGTAAGTTTATTTTTCCAACGGCAAAAATCACAGACAAATGTGAACTTTCAGCACCGTGAATATGCGTAAAATGTACATTAATACAAACAAAATGCAACAACTCGAAACAACAACAATAGCATAGTAATGCAAAAGCTGTATAAAAGCAAAGTGGCAATAATAAAATTTCGCATTATTTCATTAAAAAGTTTCTTGCGTATTTTTTTCCCACTAACCATTCGTTAGGAAAGTGATTGCAGTTATACAAATACATACACGTTACATAAATACATACATAAGTGTAATTGTTTGCAAATAGTTATGTATACAAATTAACTAGTTTGTATGCTCCATCGATTGCTATGTGCGGTAAACTTATTGGTTGACAATGAGGAATTACATATTTCTTGGTCCTAAAACATCAGTGTTAAAACGTATAGATTTTCTAACCTTACTTTTAAAATTTAAAAGATCATCTAGCTCTATAAATATATAAATCCAACTGTTAGTGGGATAATGTTAGAAGGTTAGTTAGCCTAAAATCTAAAGGCTATCAGCTCAATTTGGCAAAAAAAGAAACATATAATATATGTAAGTAGGAATCTATACCTACACTGATACGAGAACATTTTAGCACTACCAGAACATATGCGTACCAATCTTTATATTGTAGGTTGGGAGTATTCTTATTGAAGCAATTAAATCAACAATTTTTATAAGTCTTAACTTAACGAAACTGAAAAATTTCCATCAGAACATACTTCTCAAAACTCCATGATCTGCTGATGAATTGCGAGTACACATCCCTTGAACGCTCCGTGTTGAGTACCCGTACCGCGCTTAAGTGGTAACTCCGAGTGTAAGACCGGAAAGAATTTGCGAACTTTTTGTTAGAAAACGGCGAAGATTAATTTTTCTAACGATTCGGTAATCTCTACCAGAAATATTTTGTAATATTATTAGCACAAGTAACGTCTCAAAAAATAAAGTTTTCTCTTTGGGACCGCAAGATTTACGCTCGAAAGTGAGCAAGCAGCTGCCATAACTCACAGTAGTTTAGCAAAAGTTGAACAAATCAAGTTGATATTCCGTCGATACATATGTAATTTTGAACCGAGTTCATAAATTTCGTCATATAATTTGCTTGCTTAAGACTAACAAGATCTGCTAAATTTCTAATTCTATTGTTATATATGTAATATGGATTTATAAATAAAGATCCCAATTTTATTGACATAGTTTTGGGCGAAATCTAGACTGCTATAAAGTTTCGAGTTTTACTATCGAAAATCGTGAAAATAATTTTGGATGTACTTGGGTGATTTAGATTCACATGAACATCGGTACTTAATCCAAATTAACCCGTTCTAAAGCATATATATTAAGAAAAATCCACACAGAATAACATTCTTCCAGAATGATACCACTCTTATTATTATCTAGTATTGGAAAAAGAATACAATGGATACTAAGCCTCAACACCTCACTTAACCAACGGATGCGTATACAGTAATAATAAAATTACGTATTGAAAAAATTAAAGATTAAGATTGAAATCTACAATTTCAGTGCATATACAAATAAATTATTTTTTCATATTTTAAAAAAGAACTTTGCAATTTGATCAAAGGAAACGAAATGTGGTATCATATATACCATAACTGTAAATGATGTCGTTCAAAAAACACGTATCTCTTGCAGAACCAGGATTCGACAGCGAAAAAATTTAATAATGATTTCCATTTTTCAGGCAATGAAAAACCATCGAGTGGCAAAGAGAGTGGTAGAAAAAGCTTCTTTAAAAAATCAATCAGTGTCATTCGAGATGGCTTTTACCTTTTATATCCCCTAATATCGGAATATTATTGTAAAAGGTCTGAGTATCAGCAAATGTATAATCGCCAATCTGTTTTTATTCATATAATATGCATTTCAGGGAACTAGTTTCCAATGTTAATTTTCACTTATAATTGTATCGTTTTTCGCTTAAATGCTAATTGCAATGTCAATAAACTTAATAATTTTTTTAACAAGTTTTTACTAAATAACAGCACACGTAAAAATTGAACAAAACTCTTGCCATGCTTTCACACCATGATGCGATTCTTCATAACTCAATTTAACTTCATTTCGTTTTATTCACATTAGGGCAATCTTATCAATTTTAGATATAACAAAAGTTTTTGACTACTGTAAAACTGCAGAAAAAAGATATCGTGGTCAAGTCTGATTAATTTGGATCAATTTAAACCACCTTTGCCAACGTGTTGTCCGTTGTGTGGAGTCTCGATCTTTTGTATTTGTGAAGGGTTCGGTGCAACCGAAGTTAACGTTGTTTCTTGTTTTTGTTAATATAGTCATTTAATTCAAAAAATTAATCAGTTTTGCAGAAACTATTTCAATACACTCTTTTGTTATAAATTTCATTTTGTATTTATATTAAATAATTTTTTAATGAAATAAAACTTAAGACCATGAGTACAGTTATTTGACATTTAAATGAAATTTCGCATGTAAAACGAGACTCAAATATTATCACGTATATGTTTGTAACAAAATTCATATTTATTTGCTTTCAAAAACGTTAATAAATAAATGGCGTTGCATTAAAATGCCTTCCGACAAGCTTCGCATAAATATCATATAGAAGAGGGTGCCACTTGAAACTGCGCAAATTATTGACGCAATTTAACTTCTGAAGAGTTAAGTTAAACAATAAATATTTACATATATATGTCCAATTGTACATTATTTATTATTATAATGGTGCTTCTAGTTACAAAGTGTCTTTACACGAGTGATTAAATTACAGCACGTTTAATCGTAGCACAAAAGAATGCGAACATATGAAGAAAACAATTGAATAAAAGAATTCGTTCAAGTTCTGATAAACTAGAATTTGATTGCATTAAAAGACTTAGCAAGAGAGCAGCGCTAATATATACCGTCTATATATACAGATGATGTTAATAAATTGAGTAAATTTATTTCAAATTAATGGACGATCTTAAAATTACTCAAAAGAGCGGTCAGCTGAAGGCATAAACAACTCTCGTTCGCGCTTCAATCAAAAGAGCCCTCTGTTGACACTCTGATATTGAAATTCGGAGCAAGTAATACAGTAGGTATGGTATATGTACATATGTATGTACGAGTATATTAATTTGTATACACATAATATAATTTGAAGTGTGGGACATGCACACGTATTTATGAATGAAAAAGATGAGCATAACTTACAGACCCTATTTAGAGAGAAAATTACCCTAGATTATTATTTTACATTTTTTAAAACCGTATTTTAGTGAACTATAGAATTGTACATACTTATTTTTCAAAGCAAAATATATCATGGCTAACGGCATAATTTTGCAGCGAAAAGAGCTCATGATAAGCAAAACCGCAGAAGAGTAAAGAAACGAAAAAATATTAGAAATTATTTAACTAAGGATTATCCATTACTCATATTTTAAAAAGCTAAGCATGTAAAAACCGAGGAAATCAAAGCAAATGTCTCTAATATCTCACATTAACAGCTATTACTTCAGCTCTCTGAAAATACAAATTTTAACAGCAACTCTCGCCATATCTTTTGCTTTCGACTTTCGTTTTCATACGTCATTAGTAGTTAAAAAAAAAAAATTTACAGTTTCAGCAGTGGGGGATAACTTTCTTGTAACGAAAAAAGTCATATGTTTCAATCAAAAAACGTAATAACCTCGCATTCAGAGAACTGTTACTTTTTCTAAATTAATATCGCATAATTTTCTTACTCAGATACTGAAATAATGTTTTTATTACTCTTATGAAACAAGAGTTATTGTGTGTTAAATTTTACAGTTATGTAACCCTGTGTTTTTGAAATCATGAAAAACCGGGCCTGAATATAGCATTATTGCAAAGCTTGAAATCGAAACCGAAATCGCATCGAAATGGAAGAAATTTGGTTTTGAGTCGCTTGCATATCCACCATATTCTTCTGATCTGACGCCCAATGACTTTTTCTTGTTACCAGACCATAATGAGATGGTTCGCTCAACGTAAATTTAGTGCCAATGACAGGTTAATTGCTGAAACTGAGGAACAAATCATACAACAAAAATAACAACAAAAGGTTGGGAGATCGATAAAATTGGTGAGAATAACTGAGCGATAAAGATTTGCAAAAACAAATTCTAAAGTTCTTCCTCCATTGTTTGCGATTCTTTTTTAATCGAATTGATAACCTCCTCGCTATTAAACGCATTAGAACAATTGAGCAATAAAATGCTCTTCAGTGAGCGTCGGTGCTAACGACAGACGCGCTGTGAGTGACTTTGTCATTCTTAGTGAAATGAATACAACAAGCAAAAGAAAAAATGAATAAATAAAAATATAAAAACAATGAAAAGCAAATAAAAATATGTAAATGTCGAGCAGTGCACACCAGCTAAAGCATTCAGTTTGACTGCACGAATGCTCATCAGTCGCTCACCATACTTGCCGATGGATAGCTTGACCGCTGACAGTAACGCTACATGACGAAAACCATTTTCGAAAAAAACATTAAAAACCGCAGCTAAAAACGTCACAGTGTGATTTTTATTTTAAACGCGTACGATAGCCGAAAGAAAGCTTTTTCTACCTAACGACCTTACGTTTTGTGGCGGGTGGTGGTTCCCATTCACCTTGTGCGCAAAGTTACCTGGAGACGGTGCGGTGGTAATGTTGCTTAGTAGTGGCTAACGGTTAAAGCCGAAGCATATGACATGCCAACAAGTACGACGCAAAACAGCTGAAGCGCTCACAAACACTGCGGCGTGAGCAAATTCTTTCCTAATTGTGTACAACCGTGTGTGTGCACGCTGACTTGCCATGCAATCATGTTGACACTAATGACCGCGACGGGTGTACCTGTTGGAGAAATGTATTTCTATCTACCAGTTGATATCTAATGTACATTTTTTACTAAAGAAAATACCACACACCCATACACATACACAAGTAATCAGTGTGATTTCAATGAGCAAACATTCTATGATTCGCATGTATATGTGTATGTGTGACAGTTGCTGCTTTGTAAATCCACACATTGTTGCGTCGTCTATTTGCCAGTGGCATGCAACGCAGGTCATTAACGCATATCTAAGTGCAAAAGAACAGACGTCGCGAAGGCGGATAGCGCGCGTGACACGAAGTAGCAAATAATAATGAGAAAATCATATGAAATAAATTGAAAGAAGTGTGTGCAGAGGACAGTGATTTTCCCACAAATGCAAATTACGATAAACAAAATATTATATAATATGAATATATACAATACACGTGCAACATTTCCAACACACATACATACATACATATGCAAATCGAAAGTCAAATTCCAAAATAGTTTGTACAAAAAGTGTCATCCAACGCCTACAACTAGACTATAACTAGCAACGGTTTCAAAATAAACAATTTAGTTCGCATGCAAATTACAGTTAAGAACAACAAACAATAATAACGAAGTAGCTATTACAAAATATTGCCGTTTATTATGCATACATATGCGCATGCATTCAAATGTGTGGAAGCGTTCATACAATCGGTTTGTCAATTATTTAGTCAGCTAGAAGCTACGTCAAAATATAAGCGAAAAATATGACAAGCAAAACGTCAATTAATGTCATGCAGCGGCATCTGCTGACAATCGAAAAGCTACGCAATCGAGTACGTCAAATGTTGAAATGTGTTATAAATTTGCATATTGAATTTTTGGTAATTGCACAAACACTTATTTTATATAAATATATATGTATACACGCATATGCTTATCCATATTATATCGATATTACACTATGTATGTTTTTTGTTTATTCTTGTATAGATTATCTTATATATATATACTATGTTTTTGTGTGTTTTAATGGACGTATAGAATTTCCTAGAGGTTCAGCTGATGGCTCAAACAAATATATAAGTTTGACAATTAAGCACGGTATACTTTAGCAGCTTTTTTTCAAACTATAAAAATGTATTTCCCAGCTATATGCTGGAAGCATCCATTTACTTGTTTACCGCCAAAACATTTTTAAGAAAAATAAGAAAAATTTTTATATTCGGAGTGCATAGCATCTTCCAGAGGCTCACTAGGGTCAGTTTTGTAAAAAAAAAAAGTTATCCTCTATTAGTATGGACTATAAAACTTCTTGTGGGTGCGCGTCAAGGTTGGCTATGCAGCAAAGTTAGAGTGATAGGTGTTTAGGGTTTTTCAAAATCCAGTTACGGCACTCATATTTAATTGGTGTCTATACGTTACCCGACAAATGAAACAGCGGCGGATCCACGGGGAGTTTTGGGAGTCAAAGTTCACTACTGTCATAAAACCAGAGCGCGGAAAATAATTTTAACTCGAATTTAAAAGACTTTACGAAGAAACAACAATATTAAAAATATGTTAGAAAGACAATTTTTTCTGTAGAACCCCCACAGAAAGAAATTGTGGATCCGCCACTGAAATGAAAGATACTACTAATTTTCGGACATGCCTGAATTTACAAAATAATATTATGTAAGAAATACATTCGGATTTTTTCGACTAAGATTTCCACTCTCCACCGTCGCATAGCAGTCACAAACTAAAAGCATTCGACTACTGCAATCGCCTTTTTGCCGTTTTTACTTTATTTCTTCACTATTTCATGACATTTTTACTATTTTCCTGCAATAACTGATTGCCAAAGGTGATAAGCATGGATTGCATAATATTATTGCACAATATCTTTGTAAAGTGCTGTTCACACAAGTAATGAAAGTACTTTATACTTCAAACTTGAGGAATTTTCAACAAAGTAATAGAATTGAGCGAAAAAATAGAACATTTTCCCTGTGGGGGTCTTACTCACACAACCCAAATCGCCTTGTGTCATTTGTGTATTTAACAATTAGAGCATTTACTCAATGTCAATAATACGGAGAGCGTCACTTAGTCGCATTATTGTCTATATTTATACATATGTATGTATTTATGTTCATATGTACACGTGCTATGTAAATATCACGAAATGCACAGTTTTACTCGGCAAGGCAAACAAACCAAGTGGCACCCTCTAACTCAATGCATCATCAACAAATTACAAACAAACACCTTTATCTGCCACCTTTAACACTTTCGTAGTGTCTGTTGGTTACTATTTAACCTCAATCTCTGCTTAAGTACATATTTACGAATATATAGGTATGACAAACCAGTGAAAATGGTGTTGGATGTCGTTGAAACTAGCTGTTGACAATAATAGATGGACACAGCAATATAATATGAGTACTTCTTAATTACAAGCAATGCAAAGATGTAAAGAGTGCGGCATACAAGTATATGTATATACTTCTTAGTATTTCTGGTTTAGTAGGGATTTTCAAGTGAGATCTATTTCTCAGGCTTATGAAAATATTTAGCAAACTATGTAAGAATTTCATTCCTAAAATGTAGAGTAAGTTTAAAATGGAAGAGTTTGATGTGGTAAGTTCTTCGGTAATAGAGATCCACACCCGATTATCGATTTTCAAAATTCCTCATTAAAATTTGGGAACCCATTATTCAACATTATGGATAATGAAATTCAGTATCGCTTGTATTTTGACCATACTGGTCACCACATTTGAAAAAGCTGTATTTTGGTTTCAACAGAATGTTTTAAAATTTACAAATCTATAATATGTGTCTCAATGAACATATCTTTTGAAAGAAAATCTTAACTATAGGTATTTATACCAAATTTGAATTAGAGCAGCTTTAATAATTTAAATGCATTATATTTTTTTTTATTTTTTCAACTTGTTCCTTCGGCTCTTTCACAGGTTCTCGAATCGAATGTCAACCAAATGATGGACGATGTGAAGAGCTTCAATGAGGAGCTACTTGAAGTGCAGCGCTTAGATGCGCTAATCAGCGCCTTACGCGATTATAGCGGCCCAACAATATGCCACGAATGGCCCTATCCACTCATATTCAAAGGCACCGTCGACGATGCAGATGTCGCACAAATTCTCAATGGCAGAATGAAAGTAGACAAAACTAACAATAACAATATAAATGAGCGGAATATCAATTGCGAAGTGAGACGCAAGTCTACGATGCAAACTTCAAGAAATCATCAGCTTAGTAATGAAGTGATTTAGCATTTAATTATTAGTGTAATATTCTCTAATTTAATGGTTAGCTTTAGGCTTTGGCTCCTAAGATACAAACCAAATGCATAAAAGTATTAAGACATGTAAGCGTTGAACATAGTTATACAAAATAATGCTTGTAATACAAATTTACAAGTATATAGAATTATAAGTACAGCCTTCTTTAAGGTCATACATATCATGGAATATGTTTGTAAAACGAAAGAATTCAATACCTAGAGTAGAGTAGTCTGTATATACCTATATAATATATGTATTTTAAGATTAGCCATACCTACTTTGTACTGTTAAGAATGTCAATGAAGTTTTGCCACTGATTTAAAGTTTATGTTGAGATTATTTTACTAGTAAATACAGACTTTGAGAAATTTCTGACTTCAATATATTTTACTCGATACACTTGAACAAATTTTTGAACATGTTTTGGGATAAGGGAAAGAGTAAAACCTTAGAGTTTTAAAACTGGTTCTTGACTTAAGTCCAACACTTAAGAATTGGAAGAATATATATAACGCTTATTTCAATTAACTAAATAAAATTTTAAATCAGTATCCCATATAGCTTTTGAGTTACAGCCTCCCACGTATTTCACTCAACTCTATCAGTTTATCTCTTAACGGGTTTTTTCTCAAAACATCACTTTCAAATTTGCTGCTGTGCTTGCTGCTTAGAGACAAATGATTTATCAAATTGTTTGCGCCTGCTCTATAAGTACATAGTAGAAGATTTGTAGAACTAAACCACATTGCGATTTTTTACATATTACATCAGGAGTCGTTTAATATAGAGACATATAAAGCGATGGCATTTTGATACGCGTTATATGGGCAGTAGGCATGGATGTAATCTGGCTTTGTCTATTTCCAAACTTTGCTAAGAGTGTTACAGGAGGGTGGTGTGGCTTAATAGCTTATGAGATATTTACATTAATGACTTTGATATATTTTAGAAAACTTGGAAACCATATAACATATGCTTGTTGCTTACTATGATCTCCTTTCCCAAATGTGAGTTACTCATAGGGCCAAGGATCACGTTTAGCAAGTTCATCAAGTTATCACAAATTGGACTAAAGTTGTCAGTCGAAAAGACATACGAACTCATCATCCCGACTATTTTGATAATTATAAACCGTTATGTGAAGGATACTATTAGACTCAGTGCAACATGTTGTCTTATTTTATAAATGTTTTCTAAAGAACTTGCCAAGCGTAGATAGGTTTAATCACCTGGCATCTCTTAACACCGTGGCGTGATGAACTTTGAAGTGCGGCATTGGCATTTTATCAATATTGATATGTCTCAGTTACTGCCATAATCAATAAGCCATGTAAATCAAATAACCTGTGAGAATGCAAACAAACCGCAAAGCTATGCGCATAGTCGCACTTGCAATTTGCTAATATCTCTATATACTACATGGGTATATGGCATACCGACATATGATATTCCAGTTAGTGGTATTCCAAAGCTAACCAGTCAAGACCGAGCAAGGTGTGGGACAAATGATGTGAAGAATTTTGAGCGACTAAAGTTTATGTGTATTGTTGTCTAATAATGTGGAATAAATATAAAATAATTGCAAATATATATTTCTGAGCAAAATTTTACATTTCCCTGAATGATGTTTGTGACTTCATAACCCAAACAACGTAACTTTACTGCCGTAGTTAGAAGTCGTTATATATATTTATTTACTTCATGGCACTTGCAGTGATTCTTCAATGCCATAGATGTTTTAAGTGTTATTCCTTTTTATTTTCATTAATTATCTTAAACCGACTTTATTGCTGGCTCCAATTATCAAGTTAAAAATTTTATTTTTAGTTAATTAATTTCACTGTTCTGTTATCTTTGTTTAACGCGTTTTTGTGTTTGTGCAGTTGAGTCATGGATAATCAGCTCTCAAGTTCCACTTTCCTGCGAAATAAATTAATTTATAAATATCTCTTATCAGTTGAGAAAGTTTTTGATCCAAACCGAACATATTTTTCAATAAAATATATATAAGTTCGAGGAAGTAGAATGTTATCAGCATGGTAAGGGCTTGACATATGATAGCCTTGTCAAATATTTGTATAAAATGTTTCTGAAGAAGAAAAATAACTGCGTATATTTAACGAAAACGATGATCGCTAGTTCGTAGTATTTCTAAAGTAAGGGTCCCGAGTAGCAGTAAGGAAAAGTTAAGGTGGAACCGAACACGATTGAATGGTATAAAGAGGCGATTTATTGTGAACCGATTTTTAACTATACTAAGAAAAGACAATACTTGTAAATATATTATTCATGAAATGTATCTTGAAACAGTCAAGTAGTTCATGAGATAGAAAACCGCACAAAAAAGACCAACTTCAACAAGTTAGTGCAGCTCGAAGTCAAGTACCATATAATAGACAAACTTCGTATCTTTTTAAATAAAAACAAATTTTAAAAACTTAAATTTATCAAACTTTATTAAACCGATCATTCACTTTTTCGATAAGATTCATGTCATAAGATTTGTTTTGTGCTTTAAAAAGGACCTCAATCTCTACCATTTGTCCCTTAAAATCTTCTCACGAACCTTTCTCTTGAGGATCCGCAAAACCCAGTGGAGGCGAAGCAATTCAAAGCTCAATTCTTACAATATTGAGATCATTCTTATTGATTTGTTGCATGATTAATCGATCCATTGTGGCCATTGTGAGTTCGCCCGGCACAGAGCTTTCACATACAAAAGAATATATGAACGGTATGTCCACATTTCATTCGCTTTGAGTGTCAGCTATCTGGATCAACTAATTTTCCTTAAACGTCCAATACGTTAATCTCTGCGGCACATATATAGCCTGAAACAAACCCATTACGAGTGGTTGCCTCACCTGGCGCAGAGCCATGACAACACTCATTACTCCATATTTTAATAGAAAGAAACATTTTTTTCATAAAGAAATTCCATTTCATTCAGCACTGAAATTTACACAACAGCCTTTTGAAGTTGAGGTCTAACTTCCATAGAAAACTACTTTTCAGCCTGCCTGAAAAACACTCAGCTAAGGACCTGCAGCGATGTTAATTTGGACAATCAAAATTACAACAAGTAAGGAAGGGCTAGGTTCGGGTGCAACGGAACGTTTCATTCTCTTGCAACTTGCGAGGAACAAAGGCGGAGGAACACCTTCAGGTTTAGCAAAACTTTATATCAAACTAAGGAAAATATCGACGCGCTTAAGGAAAGAGAATACACTGTTATTAAAAAAAGATTATTTCTTAATTTTCGCTAAGATTTCTTAATATCGACCGATAGATGCGGTTTAAAGAGAACCGGAGTTTCGAAAATATTTATATTATCTATATGGGTATATGGCTTTTACCCATTATTGGCACAAGTTATAGTGCGACTTCGACAATTTTCGGACGTAATACGAAATCCCTTGAGGGCACTATTTGTGCAAGTTTTATTCTGATAACTTTATTGATGTTTGATTTGTATACTCTAAAGTTTAAGAATCAGACGGAATTTAGAAGTTTGTTATATGGGAATTAGGCGTGGTTGTCATCCGATTTCGCCCATTTTTCGAGTGTCTAATACTCACACACCAAATTTGAAATCGGTTGAGTGGTTCCTTAAATATAGGATTTCACCCAAAGGTGGGCGTTGCCACGGCCCTTGCTCAATTTTCACACCTGATCTTCACACCTGTTCTGAAATTTAATGCTTGTGGCTCTTTTTTGAATGAGTTTTAGTACTTTTAGTAGTTTTCAACATAACCGTTTTATGGGGTGTGGGCTTCCAATATTACTCATTTTTACAGAGTTTGAAGAGGTCTTAAAATCACTTCTTCTCAGAAAGTTAGGTTGATATACCTTAAGCGGTTTGGAATGTACATTAAATCAATTTAAGGGGAGCCACGCCCACTTTTAAAAATTCTTAGTCCACAGTAGTTCCTGGCTACTGCGATATCCTACAAGTATACCAAATTACAGTTTTGCATCTCAATTTGAGGCTTAGTTATGGCACTTTAAAAGTTTTCGTTTAATGACGCTTTGTGGGCGTATAATGGTCCCATTTGCAATACTAACCTCCTTGGGTGCCAAAAAATATGTGTACCACGTTTCATCAAGATATATCAATTTTTAATCAAGTTATCGCTTGCACGGACGGACGGATGGACAGACAGTCACCCGGATTTCAATTCGTCTCGTAATCCTAATCATTTATATATGTACATAACCTTATATCTATATCAATTAGTTTTAAGTGATACAAGCTAGCGTTAGGTGAACAAAACTATTATACTCTCTAGCAACATGTTACAAGAGTATAAAAATCACAAAAAACGATATCGTATCAACCCTAGAAAAAGATCCATAAAACAACTGATTAATTTGCAAGAACTCAAATACGGCAGTACTTACAACCAAACAAATAAACATGCATACACACAAACGTATAAAACCTTTAAAAACTAGCAAACTTAACTTCACTTATACACACATACACATGCTAATTTTTTTACATATATATGAAATGGGCAAATTTTCAACAATGCCCAACAAGTCTACGAATTTTAGAAAACAACAAAACACGAACATATATGTATACTACATAAGTATTGGTGAATTATCCGAATCGACACCGAACAATTTTCGTAATTGAGATGAATGATTTCCCTACGAAAAAATTAAGACAACATTAATACAAGAAGGTATACAAGTGCTGAAATTGCGTAGGAAAAGAGCAAAACTAGAAAACACTACAAAGGTCCTTATCCACTTACGGAAATGACCATTGAGCATGGATGACCGGTTGGCTGCCCATTTGTTGTCGTAAAAAAGAGACTCGCTCGTACACCGACAATTGTTGCAAAACGAACACTCTACTCACTTGTTTTGCGTCAATGTGTGTGAAGAGCTTTTGTTGTTGCTTCGGTTTTTGTTACACATCATTCCAATTACAGTTAGTATGCCGGTATGTATTGTGTATGAAGCCGTACTTCCAGGGGCAACAGCTTAAAAGCTAGTCATACCAGTAAGTGCAAATTGCAGACAGTCTGAGGATGCAACAACAACAAGACACACTACTCCCAAGCATGCCGCACCATCCCACTTCGCGCCACTCTTCGCAACCAATTTTATTAACGTTTCAAATGCGCTGTGCATAGTGTGTGTGGGTGTGTGTGTGTACATAACGATATATGTACGACTAGTATACATGCACCAGCATTGATATCTTAAGCTAGAGTTCGTCTTAGTTACGAACGAATCGTAGCGATAGCTTGTAAATTGTACGAACGCAAATCCTCGACCATAAACTGTCTGGCATACCATTGGATTGTGTAAATAAATTGCTCCTTTTAAGTTGTTGCATGCAACAAGCCGGCTTTTGTTTCACCTTCACCACCACTTTGATCTACTATTTG